GCATTGATCTTTCCTATGATTTGTGTCGGTGTAGCGGTGGAAAGATCACCTTGGTGTAGCACGGTCACAATATGGCCATATTTGTCAATGGGGAGGACACTCAAGATCTTTCTCACAACGTCGGATGGCGATATTTGAGTAAGTCCAAGCCCATTGACTTCCTCTATAAGAACATTCAAACGTGAATACATCTCATTAGCACATTCCTTGGGAAGCATCTCAAATGAATTTAGCTTTTTAATCACAAGATGATAGCGTTCCTCACGCTCACTCTTAGTTCCCCCATGGAGCGCACAAACGTCCGACCATAGTGCATGGGTGTCTTTGTGGTTCCTTACGCGGTTGAACACATCTTTGCAAAGACCTCTAAAGATGGTGTTGCGAGCCTTTGCATTCCATTTTTCATAATTCACTTCATCGCCTTGAAGTTGTGCGGGATTCTTAGGTGTTGGGAACCCTTGAGAGGCAGCTCTAAGTATTCCAATGTCTAGAGCTTCTAGGTATGCCTCCATGCGAATTTTCCAATATGGAAAATCATCCCCCTCGAAGATAGGAGGAGGTCCATCCCCGTGAGACATCTTACTCTAAGCGGTTAAGCTTAAAAATGTGAGCACGTGGCTCCGATACCAATTGAAAGAATCAAGATGCCCAAGAGGGGGGGTGAATTGGGCTAATTCTAAATTTTCTTGCAATAATCTAATCCTACGGATAGCCCAATTAACCCCTTGTGCCTAGAAAAGTGTTTCTATCAAATTAACGCACAAAAGACTTGCAACCTATGTTCCAAACTTACTCTAGCATGGCAATTCTATGAATGTAAAGACAAGTATTGAATTGCTCAAAGTAAATACTTAAAGTAAATGCTCAAGGTAAATGGAGAGAGGAACGCGGCGATGTTTTGCCGAGGTATCGGAGAGTCGCTACTCCCCACTAGTCCTCGTTGGAGCACCCGCGCAAGGGTGTAGCTCCCCCTTGATCCGCGCAAGGATCAAGTGCTCTCTACGGGTTGATTCTTCGACACTCCGTCGTGGCGAATCACCCAAAGCCGCTCACAACTTGAGTTGGGTCACCCACAAGCTCCGCCGAGTGAACACCAAGCTCCCAATCACTACCAAGCCGTCTAGGTGATGGCGATCACCAAGAGTAACAAGCACGAACTCTCACTTGACCACGCGAAGCCTAATGAGAAGATGGATACACACTTGACTACTCTTGATTCACTAATGAGGCTACTCTCTTGGATTCTCAAATCTCAATCACCTCACTAGGACCTTGCTCTTCTTGGCATTCACAAACATGTTTCTCAGCTGTTGGAATGAGCAAAAGCACCTCCACACATGAGTGGAGCTTCTATTTATAAGGCAGCCTGAAAAACAAACCGTTATGAGCTTCTGCGGGGTGACCGGACGCTCCGGTCGTGTTGACCGGACGTTTCGGTCAGTTCAACCCGTGAACCAGTAAAAATGTATTGACCGGACGCTGGCAGGGTCCGGTCAGCACTGACCGGAGGTGTCCGGTCACATAAAACCCTTACTGGAACCTTACTGGACTCGACCGGATGCTGAACCCTCAGGGTCCGGTCAGTACTGACCGGACGCGTCCGGTCGCAGATTCCCTTCACTAGAACCTTACTGGAGTCGACCGGACGCTGCCTTTCAGCGTCCGGTCACTTGACCTCTCCAGCGTCCGGTCACACCGAACGCAGACGTTGATCAAATGAACTGACCGGACCCTGCGGCCAGCGTCCGGTGACACCGGGGCCAGCGTTCGGTCAGTGTTTGACCCTCCATTCGCTTCCAACTTCCGAACATATGTGAATGAAGTTTGCTCCAAAGGATCTTAGGCATTCATAGGAGCTACCTAGAGCTAGTTTTGACAAGTGTGCACCACACCTAACTCACTAGACTCAACTAGGTCAAGCTACCCATCCATACCCCCCTTAATAGTACGGCCAAAGGAAAAACAAAGTCCTAAACTACTCTAAGTGTCTCTTCAACTCCAATCGACACTTAGAACTAGTCATCCTTAATCTTGTCGTCCATCCTTTAAAAACCAAAACAATTTTCATTGAGGGGGCATGACAACTTTGATTGCCCAATCGATCTTCGTTACCATGACCTAACTTAATTGCCTCTGCAAAACACACGTTAATCATAGTAATCTTGTATTGTCATTAATCACCGAAACCCAACTAGGGGCCTAGATGCTTTCAGCTTACACTATAAACTTTATTAAAGTGCCGAATATGCACTCTATAGCATTCTCGTTCAATAAAAATTCATTTAGAACCCTAAGTGACATAACGCGACATGAAATATAACATTCGTTTCGTGTTTCTGAAGAACGTTTCGAGCCACAGAAATTGATTTACACTCTATAATTCATACACTATCATATAAACATGATGCACATGCAGTGTTTTAGCAAACGACTGTACAGTGTAACACCAAGGTGTTACACGGCAGCGGCTGCGGCGCGGCGTGGGGCGAGTCGCAGTGCGGCGGGGCTAGCGGCAGCATGGCCCCGCTGCGCAAGCAGCTGCAGCGGCTCAGCGCGCCAGGAGCCAGCGGCGGCCAGAGCAGCCGTGGCCGGCCACGCGCGGCAGCGCATGTGCGCACGGGACAGCCAGCATGGCGACACCGAACGCCCGAGGGTGGTGATAGCGCCCACGCGGCCAACCAGCCCGAAACCGTGTTATGCATGAATTTTAAAGCGCCTATAAAAACTAAACGGTTGCTTTTGGACCTTAACCGTCTTCACCGTACTCAAGATGGCATATGAGACTACCAAATCGAGTTATAACACTACATCACCCCTTAACCCAATCTCTCAAAATAATTTACTAAACATAGCAATGTTTAGCTGTTGACAAACTTGAAAAATTTTCTAAGTTTTGAGCTGAACTTGATTTCAATTTGCAATTTCTAGGCTAGTAGAAATATTAGCTAGTAATATTATTTTTTTGACAGGAAGTATTTCACTATCATCTACAAAGTTTGTACTTTAAACTTTATTTAAGTATCAGACACATATTCTATAGTATTTTTGCTTAATAAAAATTAGTTTTCAACCTACTTGATATACATGAACTATTGGATTAACTTTCGTTTAACATTTTTATTGATCATTTTAAGTTACAAAAAAATTATCTACACATTTTATCTCATGCATTAACACATAAACATGATGCTCATAATATGTTTTAGTAAATGATTTAGGATGTAACACATAAACAATATATTGAAGATATGCTCATTTATATGGTTTTCTAATTGTTCATTTGAGTATATTGATTTTGATAAGAGAAAATGTAATTTCTAATTTGTTGGAATTATTCTCAAAATGAAGATGTATCATTTCACAAATAAAATTATATAGATTTTTCAAAGAGAAACATAACTGCGTAGTCAAATCTTCAAAGGTTTATGTGCAAATATTTATACCCTATTTAGTGGAGCTCTGACTAGTTCCAGCTTTTCGTGCACTTTAGTAAGGCCCTTAGTTTCACTTCGTTTTGCCAAATTTTTCAAGATTCTCCGTCACATCGAATCTTTAGACGCATGTATGAAGCATTAAATATAAATAAAAAATAAAACTAATTACACAGTTTAGACGAAATCCACGAGACGAATCTTTTAAGTCTAATTAGACTATGATTGGACACTAATTACCAAATAACAACGAAAATGCTACAGTGCTCATTTTGCAAAAAAAAATTGCATCTAAACTGGGCCTAACTAGTAAGAAGTCGTTTTTCTTTTTTTCTCAAAAAGAAAAACTAAAACCTATGGAATCACTATATTTTTCTCTTCACCGCTTTGATTTCTTAGTGCGCCATAGTAAAGAATCGAGCCGTTTATAGTTATGCTTGATGGGACTCGTACATAATGGCCAGTTCGCTTCGCTGAAAAAATAAATCGAAACACTGTTTCGGCTGATTTGTTGTAAGAGGAAAATACTATTCTAACTGAAAAAAACAAGCTGAAAAGTATGGATTATAAGAGAAACGAACAGGACAAATGTCGGACATATGATAAGCAGTATCCGCATATTTCTCACCAACTTTGCTTTCGCAGTATTACATATATTTAAGATTTGGTTAAAAAACTACAAATTATAATTTATTTTATCTTTTTTAGTACATAGAATTTACTATGTACTTTTTCCGTTACAAATTATAAGTTGCTTTGACTTTTTTGGTACATCCATTTTACTATATATCTAGATATAATATATGTCTAGATACATAGCAAAATTAATATTTCAAAAAAATCAAAGCCACTTATAATTTGAAATGGATAGAGTATCTAGATGTACATTATGGGGGTGTTTGGCATGGCTCCTCTTGAGGGATCCCTCAAAGGAGTCCTGTGGCTCGTTCAAAACAACTCCGGCTCATCGTTTGGCAGGGCTCCTCTGCAGGAGCCGGAGCTAGGGAGGAGCCCTCCCAAACCGGCTCTATATTTAGATGTATAGCAAAATAGATGTAAAGAAAAGTAAAAGCGACTTATAATTTAGAATGAATGGAGTATTAATGGTATCTATAGTTAAAAAATCTTCCTTTATAAAAAAAAGTTACAAAAAATTGACTGAAATGTCTTCCTTCTTCTCTATCCTAAATTGCCAAGCTCCAACTAACAGTACTAAAGCTTGGCGTAAATAATGGCAAAGCAGGGGTAAAGAGAGAAGCAATCAATGTCAGCAGGACAAAGATCAAAAACAAGTGACCAGGCACCGGCAGTCCACGAGAGGGCCAAAAAGCGACCAGAAAAGCCGGCCGGACGCTGGCAACAGCACGCATTCCTACTCCAAGCATTGACAGGCACGCAGGCGGCGCCGTTTGGCACTGCACACTCACGAGCTCGCGCTGGAGAGTGGATACTCTCCCCCGGCACCAAGAAACCACGAAATCGCCCGCCCCCACCTTCCCTCGGGTCCCTCCCGATCTTGCCAAGAATCCAAGATCCGCCTGCGATAGCTAGCGGTCCTGTCTTGATCCGATGGTGTCACCGGCGCCGGGAGGGAAGGATGCAGGGGAGGGCGGCGGCAAGGCGGAGTGGCTGATCTACGCTTTCGTGGCGCGCGGCACCGCGGTGCTGGCGGAGTACACGGAGTTCACCGGCAACTTCCCCGCCATCGCCGCGCAGTGCCTGCAGCGGCTACCCGCCGGGTCGTCCTCCGCCAGCACCGGCCCTGACGGCCGCGGCGGCGCGCCGGTACGGTTCAGCTACGCCTGCGACGGGCACACATTCAACTTCCTCCTGCATCGCGGCTACGGTGAGAAAGATGCGATCAATCGATGCCTTTTAAGCCTTTTGCTTTTGCATCAGTAGAGGTAGGAAGTGCTATGGGGGATCTATGATTCTAATTTGTTGTGCCTTCTTAGTTGTGCATAAGTAAAGATAAGTAACTGAGCTCGGGATTCGTTGCAATTGGATTGCAAGATCACCCCCCATAAAGGCATCACCAATCTTTATGGCAACAGACATACCAGACTGAAACTATAACAGATTAACAGCTCAACAGCAATGTGGATCCTGAACCTGAACTTACTGAACTATGCATTGTTGTGGATCTTGGAGATCTGGCTACAAGCCTACAACTTAAGTGCTATAGATCACATGATGATGATAATATGTATATTCATGGTGACACCTTTGCTCTTTGAACATTTTGTAGCCTATTGTGTAGTTGCGAAGGAATCCGTTCCAAAGAATGTCTCAGTGGCATTTCTTGAGAGGTTAAAAGATGACTTCATGAAGAGATACGGTGGTGGTAAAGCAGATACAGCTCTTGCAAAAAGTCTAAATAAAGAATATGGGTATGTCTTAATAAGTGCTGCAGAGAATGCATAGAATGTTTTATTCTTTTTTTTCTTCTGAAAATTGAGCTTTTCACCAATGCAGACCAGTTATAAAGAAGCACATTCAGTATGTTCTTGATCATTCAGAGGAACTAGATAAAACGTTAAAAGTGCAAGCCCAAGTTTCAGAAGTTAAAAATATCATGTTAGACAACATAGAAAAGGTATGTCATAGCTCATTTTGTATGAGAGCATATGCTGCTGTGTTGTTATTGGTTGATGTGTATAGGAGCACCTGAAGCAACATCGAACAGGGCCAGGATTCCATGATTAGTGTGTGCTATCATTTGGTTGATGATATAGGTGTCACTGCCACATAGACCAAGTGATTGATAAAGCTCATGGACGGAAATTGGTTTTCATTGCTGCAAAAAAAGCAGTATTGTAGTGTCACATTAATAGAGATAACTTATTAATCGCATACATAACAATGAAAGTAAATATTGTTCATATAAGGATTTGTTTTTTGGCGATGAATATAAGGAATTTAGGTTAGGTGTACAGTTTATCATTGTTTTCTCAAAAAATTTATTAGCTACCCAGATGTTAGTTGATTTCATCTTCAATAAAAGTAGTTGACGTTAGTAGGTAACTGAATTACATTTCTCCTCAGATTTAATTTGAGTGTGCACGCCTGATTCCCAACTTCCCATGAGTTGTTTTATGTTTACTTGATTTTCAATTGATAATATAAAGTTTAATGCTAGAAGCATAATAAGATTAGTAGATTACACAACAGTATGATGGTTATCATGCTTGCTTTACATTAGACATGGCGTGCAAACATCAGTAAATTATTAATAATTGAGATCATTGTCCTTGAAAGAAATGACTATGTTTGTGCAAGTTGAGTGCGCTGCATGAGAATCATCAACTTGTTCTTATGACTGCTATGGACGTAAACTTGTAATAATCATAGAAACAATGTTTTTTCTGTAAGTGTTACCATAGTTCTACTTATTTGTTGAATTCCACCATCACTTAAGCATTCATTTAGCTGTTAGCTTGAATTGGCAATCCCTTATAATTTCGTCATTTCTGCCCCATGTATTTTTAGACTTTGGGCCGTGGAGAAAAGTTGAGTGAACTCCATGACAAGACTTCTGATCTACATAGTCAGGTACATGATCCCTTATCAATGTACCAGTTCTGTGCTTCTCTCCCTTCCCCTTCTATAATGGACCTGCATCACATGTATGTAATTCAGGCCCAGGAGTTCAAGAAACAGGGGGTGAAGATCCGTAGGAAGACATGGCTACAGAATATGAAAATTAAGTTGGTGATTCTTGGAATCCTTTTGCTCCTTGTAATCATAGTCTGGGTATCTGTTTGTCAAGGCTTTGACTGCACCAAGCATGAAACATAGTAAGAGTGGTACAGCACTACTATAGTACTAGCTTTGGAGTTGCGATGGATGTGAATTTGTGCTGGTGAAGTCAGGCGTACCTACATATGCTTTGGCTCTCTAGTTTCATTCCACCGGACAATTGTTACGGTACAAATGTAAATCTGAGTTGGTCTTATTGCACGCCTGAGGTGTACTCGCAATGTAAGACTAGCTTGATATGAAGTAATAATAGCATGATTCCTTGTGTAGTTTTGTACTAGCTGAATTCGATAGAATCTAGCATAAATGCATATCCACCACTCGTTTTTTGCTCACCCTGTTTACATATAGGGCGAACTTACAAGAGTCAATGTTCATTCTGTGGTACTGCAGTTGATTAGGGCTATCTCGCTGGTACTCCTGGGTTAAAAACCATGTGACAAACAGAAATAGAAGCGTACTTTTTTTCCTGAGTGGAGTGCACCTGTTTTCTTAAGTGACAGTACAACACTGCTGTAGTTCTGATCTTTTTTAAAGAGACATCGATTGCCTAAATTTGTTTGATTTGATCTGCCACCAGATTGTCAAAAATAAGGGTCGTCACGAGTGCGCTGCCTGGCATATAAATGGGTAGCAAGTATTAAAATATAAAAATACTTTGATAAACCGAGTCACATTTGCCATTATCGATCACCGTCGCCAACCTTTCCTTTGCCTAGGAGGGCCAGGCATGTGAATGTTTGATCAGTCTGTCTCTAACCAGCGTCAGTACAGAAAAAGCATCCAGATACGCAGGCAGGAAACTGCAAATATGTATTCACCACTCATCATTGTACATGAATGGTGTCTGATGATTTATATAAGTAAAAAAATGGTTGGATCACATGTTTGGTTGTCCCTTATAATGTATACACGATCAATACCATGTCTAGAGAGGATGGCACTGTTCATATTTTGCATGGTAAATCTGGTAAAAGACCATCACAAACACCCTCTTGATATACAAGTACGGACTACAGTGAGCAGAGCTCAGTAAAACAGAAATCCCAAGGTGATGCCTAATCTGCTCTATAATCTCTTGGTACACTACAGTAAATTGAACAAAACTCAATCCAGTACATTCCCTCTCAATTCCCACAATTTCACCACGCCATCGTCGCTTGCGGATGCCAATAACCTTGGGTCCTAGAAATTTATATGAGAAAATAAGTATCTCTATCCAAAACTAAGGTCAGAATATTATGGACAGCAAAAGAGAAACGCACAAGGTAGATGGTACTCTTCATTGCATCAGCTAAACAAATGAAGACTATTTTGTTCCTAATTCTCAGACAATATCAGCCAGCTAAACAGAGACTATTTTGTTGTGAATTCTCAGAAGTTACCTGAGGACACCATCGCACACAGTTTATGTCCATGACATGTGCCTTCTCTTTCTTTAATATTAATCTGTATGGGGGCCTCTCAACCTGCACGACCGAGATTACATTCAATACTTTGTGCAAAACACAAAACATTATATTCTCTTTTTATCCTTTTTTTTTTCTAAAATAATTTCACAGCCACATGAGTGAAAGCTTTACAAGCTGCTATCAGCTTTTGCAAACGAAAAATACCATTACAGTACTCCAAAATAATAATCAAACATTTTGGGGGAAAATAAGAGCCATGCATCATTGTCGGTTGACACAAACCAGCTATATCACTAGTTTGATTACTAAATTTTGATTATGTGAGCTTTCCAAAGGTTATGTGTGCTTTCCAAAATTGAAAACACTAAACAGCTCTCGCCCCTTTATTGAAAGGAAAGGTTGAATACTAAATTTTGATTAGAACATTGTACTTCATAATTATAACAAATATATAAATTGAACAAGGCCAGCTAAACACACCATATAAGGACTGGAATCATGAAAACATAAATGTTTGGACAACATACCATGGTACTCTTCTCCTCAGTAAAAATGCAGATTGCATCATTGCCCCCACCACTAGCTATAATATCCTCGCTGTCATGTACAAGGAACAAGGAATTGCCAAAGCAGAATATAAGAGACAGTTCCACCACCAAAATTAGCAAACAAATAACTAGATGCAATTGCCACAAAATGAGAAGTAAACTATCTGTTAGATGGCTCCACCAAGCAACAGAAGCTGTGGACTTAAAAGTTTGGTCACATAAGAACCTTATAACAATACGGTGATGATACTTTGAAGTTATAAACATAGATGGTCTGATTAAGGCAGAAATCTTTCAACAGCACAGCAATTCAGGCAAAAGTGATATAAGCTGCTTTTGTTGGATTTTGGCCATTATCTAATAAAAATATAGATATGTGAAATAACAAAGTACATCAACAAAAATACAATGGGGGCACAATTTGTAGAACAGTGGCAATTCTCACAACTAGAAGCCAGAGCTAATATGAGAGAATTCATATAGATGAACTCAGTTGAGAGACTGTTCTTGCATCTTATCTTAAATGACAAACTTGCCTAAGAATTTCATTTTGGGGGGGGCTGAGAATTCAACTGACCTTGACCAATGGGCTGAAAAAATAGTTCGTCCATGATATCCTGTGAGAGTAGAAAGGTGTTGCCTGAAAAATCAAATAACAACTATTCTGTTTAGGAGGTGCAGTGAAGAAGGCTGAAGGACAACAGAGTTTTCACATCTATCTTTACAGAGGTCACTTAATAGTAATTAATTGTCAAGATTACCTGAAAGATACTATACACTATCAAGAGAACTACAACAGTTAATACTTAAGTCAATCCATAGTCATTAAGTGTAGCATAGTAGGAACTATTTCTCAGCTTGTCAACTTCAGCCAATTTGAAAGGACCATACAAGAGAAACACTTCTCTGTAAAGAGAAGCTACATCCTAGTTAGTTCTGCATTTGCAAGAGGACAAGATAAATAGAAAATGCAAAGTTTTGATGCACAAAAGTAGCATTAATTGATGGCAAAAGGACATTAATATATTTAATACATAGTGGTATAGTAGATGTTCAACGACTAGTGATGGAATTGTAACTACCATGGTTATCAAGGCGGTAAGGCGAGGCATGGCGAGTGACTACCGCCTTACGCTTAAGCATGTAAGGCGTAAGGCAAGGCGACGCCTTACCAACTAAAGGAAAATTTAAAACAGCAGCTCAGAGCAGTATATAGATGATAAAGAAAAAAGGGAAGGAAAAAAAGAAAAAGAAAGGAGGAGTAAGAAGTGGTCTGGCCCAGCCCACATGCACCAAGCAGCCCATGTGCCCCTCACCCTCGTAGCCCTAGCGTGTCTTCATCTCTCTCCTGCGCCGCGTCACCACCGCAACTCTTGACTTCCGCCTCCGCCCACCTCTCTCTCTTCCCTCCCGTTCCGCCTCCACCTCTCTCTCTCTCTGGAGGTAGAGGAACAGAGGAGGTGGGACGCTGCAGGCCAGCACCGATTGGGGGAAGACCGAAGACGGCCGCTCCTTGCCGTGGTCCGCACAGGTGACCGCACGGCTCGACGGCGGTCGGTCGGCAACTTCTCCCGTCGGTGCGGGCGAGCTGCAGCTTCTGGTTCCCCTCCCGCTCTCCCGTTCACTGCTGTGGAATCTCCCGCGCGCCCGCTCTCTTCCTCCCGCTCTCCTGCTCACTGGTGTGCGCGCCCGCTCTCTTCCTCCCGCTCTCCTGCTCACTGGTGTGGTGTGGAATCTAAGGCAAGTCGTCTGCTGTGGCGTCGTGTGTGCAGCGCCTTGGCGCTTAAGCGACGCCTAAGCGTCGCCTTGATAACATTGGTAACTACAACAAGTTCCTTTACAGCCTAAGCTTCTGGACACAGCTTTGCTATTCCTGGGTTACCAAATACATAAAAGTCTTGAAGGATGTCATTTATGCAGAGAACACAATCCTTAAAAGAAAACTAACTTCTTACCAAGATTCCTGACCTTCGCCAGTTTTTGGTTGAGACAAATCAGCGCTGGTATCCCATATCTTTAACGTTTGGTCATCACTGAATAACAGATGTATGACATTAGTAACTACTCTAGGGAAAACCCCAGCAAAAGAGAAACATTAATGAAAGAACAGTCAAACAAACCTGCATGTGACCATCCTATCACCTTGAAAGTTAAAGGATAATGCCCATACTGTTGATGAATGACCACTGGAATTAAGAAAAATGTGACCTATCAAACAACGCAATAATGCAAGTGGTAAAACACTGAAACTAGAACCAAAATTTTGCGTTCTGTTATAAGTCAGAGAACATTAATTCAGTACCCAACTGTAATGAACAATGAATAGAATCATAAAATTATGTAATCCTTATCTATTTAATATTTAGTAAGAAGGGTGGCACAAAATTGATCTCAATAAGGAACCATATCGAAAACAATCCTAAGTTAACTGCAAAATCACACAAACAAATTGTTAATCTCATATGCTTCACATGGAATCCACGATGATGACTCAGCAAAGTGAGAACCCAGGTTAGGGGGGAGCAGGTGAAATAACTGGTGGAGACACTTATTCAAAAAATGCAGGACTGACCAAAATAGTGAAGGTGGTTTTCATACTTTCATAGGCAACAGTTTTAGTCTAAATCATAGAATCAACAACAATGCACTGCATAAGAAATAAAATGGGACAAAATCCATGCATCATATCTTTTCATATCATAGATAAAAAGAACCAGAGAACCGGGAATATAGTAGTTTGGATGTAATAAACAAGGCAAGAAGAAAGGCAATAGATCAAAGAGCACTTTACCAGTTATTGGCTGCGGTTAACGTCTGCACACAGTGCCACTCGTCGTCTCCGTCATCAGCCCAGACCTGCATCATACAAGCTGCCATATGAACCAATTTAATAGCAGCAGAATTAAGAGGCTCCACCTTTCTTTTTCCTGCCACTAAGTAATAGCGTCCCAAAATAGCAAAGCAACAAGGCCATGAAAGAATTTGAACACAAAACATCGGATAAGCGAATGCAATTGCACAATGGATGCATCTGTTCAGAGTTGGGCACGGTCATACCCTGATGGAATTATCGTAGCTGACAGAGACCAAAATGTCGAGGATCGGGTGCCACTGCACCATCTTGACGTCCTGCGTGTGGCCCGTCAGCACCGAGGCACACTCGAACTCGTTCCCTGGCAGCACCTCCCATATCCACACCGTCTTGTCCCGGCTGCACGTGGCGAGCAGCGACCCGGACGGGCTCCACGACACGCTCTTCACCTCGTTCTCGTGCCCCTGCACGCCCAGAGCACAAGAGTCAACATCCATCCACAGCGAGGGAACCAACTCGTGGCGGCACCGATCCTGATTCTTGTCAAGCTTAGCAAACTCAACTCCAGCGTGGCGACGCACTCAAAGTCGCCGCCCTTGTACTCCCACACCGCCGTGGTGGCGTCGAAGCTCGCGGTGGCCAGCAGCTTCCCGTTGGGGGACCAGGCGCAGGACCTCACCGTGCGGTTGTGCGTGTCTTCCAGCACATCCTGCCCGAACCAAGCCGACGGACGAAATTAAGCTATGGCACGCATCAAACAAAACCCGTGGCTCTAAACCAAACGGGACCGGGTTCGGGGGGAGAGGAGAGGAGGGTGGCGTTAGTTACCGAGCACTGCCAGGCGCCGTCGGGGGCGCGCTTCCAGATCCGGACGGTCTTGTCGCCGCTGCAGGAGGCGAGGACGGGGCCGGAGCGGCCCGGGGCGGGGTTCCAGGCGAGCGCCCACACGCGGTCGGCGTGGCCCGTCAGGCGGTGGGCCTCGCGCAGCTCCGCCGCACCGCCGTCCATGGGTTTCGGGGATCGGCTGGGTCGGGCTACGGCGTACGGTCACTCGGAGGAGCGGGGGCGGAGGGGAGAGGGGAGGGGAGGGGCAGGTGAGGTCAAACCGTCAGTAAAAAAGCTGGGAGGCGGCGAGGCCTGGTGTGGGGTCGAGGGGAAGTGTGACGCCACTCGACCTGTTGGCTTGGCTTACAAGGGTTTAGGGTTTAGTTACTTTTTCGAGGAACGAACGCTATTTTTCTTTCATAATAAATCAGTCAACACTACTTTCAATCATGGCTTATCAGTCAAATGAACAGAGCAACTAAGCCTGTGGGGTACATGTACACGACATTTTTCCCGTAAATAAAACGTTAGTAAAAGTTCTCTTCTTTTTTACTGGAATCGTGGCTCCTCGTTTACGATAAGACACCGTCAATTAGGGCATGTTTGTACACATGGCTAGTTACTGGTTAAAGTTAAAAATTAATTCACATTAGTTATGCTTGACTATATTCTAAAAAAAATATGATTAACTAACTAGTTAACTAACAACTATTTCAGTCAAGAATCTAGCTAAAAAATTAGCCCATATATTAGTCTTCCTGCACAAAAGCTAATTTTGACTAATTTTAAGCTAACTAGCAATTGACTCTGGTTCTAAACATGCCCTTGCCTCTCAGACCGAGACCCAAACCTGAAGAACAAGTGGCGGCAGGGATTGGACAGCCTGGGCGTTCGGTTTTTACCGACGGTTCGGTTCGGTTTGTTCGGTTTTTCAAAAATTCGGTTTCCAGAAAATGACCCCCGATCGGTTTGCTAAAATTTCAAAAACCGACCAATTTCGGTTCGGTTTTTTAGTTCGGTTTTTCGGTTAAAACCGAATAAACCGATGCAAAAAAATATCAGACAAGATTTACAATTGACAGTACAAACTTCGGTTTTTTAGTTCGGTTTCTCGGTACAACAGGAAAAAAAAACAGGTTACAACACATTTTAAGTTTGGTTTTTTCGGTATTTAGTTCGGTTTCTTGGTACACAGGAAAAAAAAGCAGTTCAAACACACTTTTAGTTCGGTTTTTTTTGGTACTTGTTCGGTATGTCGTAGAAACCAAAACGAAGCCGAACACCGAACTTCACAGAACTGAAAACCGAAACCGAACCGAAAAACCGAACTACCGACTATTCGGTTCGGTTTCGGTTCGGTTCGGTTCGGTTTTCGGTTTCCGGTAAAAAAATGCCCAGGCTGAGCTTGGAGGGTTGCAGTGGCAGGAACGCCGGTGCTGGCACCGGTAGCCAGGGATGGAGCAATAGCGTCGGTGATAGCCCGAGATCATGGTACCAGAAAGGAGACAATACTCAATTTTTTGAGATATCCGTTTGCTCATTATTTAGTCACTGACTCCTTTGTTTTTCTAATTTGCTAAGTTGGTCTTTTCTTCTATTGATAAATTGATGTATACTATATTTTTGGGTGCAAATACTGTTTATGACCCTTTTATAACATATGAATTTCATAGGAATCATAAAAAATTCACAATAATTAATTTATTTTTCACATGAATGAAAATCAAGAAATAAGAAAAAAAAAATCCTTAATTCCAAAGGGGACTTGGTCTTACTCTTCTTTTATGAGAGCTTCATCTTCATCTATACTAATTAAGCACTCTTTTTTTTTCAAATTGTAAGTCATTCTAGCTTTTCTAAGTATCTAGCCATAATGACTTACAATTTGAAATAAAAGGAGCACTTGTCATTGCTCTCATTATATAATTCTGTATATAAATATAGCATGCGGTTGTGAGATTTTGTTTTATTATTTATTGTTTATAGTTTGTCTTTTCTTCTCGTCCCACCTATATTTTTTGGCTGGATCTGCAACTGATCTAGGGAATTGATTATTTATTCAATAATAATTCCTTCTGATATCGTACCGTTTATGTTTGCATTATCATTTCTAAACCAAAAATAACCTAATTTACATCCATGAAACTAAACCTCGTACAACTAGCAAACCACACACATTGACTATGTGTAATCATTAATTACCAACATGACAACCCAAAATAGGGTCATTTTCTTTACAACATGTACTTACATTTACTGGATATATATATACAAGACGCCATACTTTTTCGACCTGACGAAATCCAGAGCGACATGTTTGCTGCGACAGCTCGCATAGCACTAACATTTACTCGTAATTACAAATAGCGTTCGAAACATTCACTCCAAACCAATCACTTTTAGCAGCGTGCGATCATCCTTGACTCCTTGTTTTCACCTTCGCTAGTGACTTGCTCCGGTGATCGTGGGTGACTGGGTGAACGGGTCGGTCTCTCTCTGCCTGCTCAACTCAGGGGTGGAAGTGGAAGTAGACCCCCAGTAGCTGCTCGTGGTGTAGCTACTTTTCCCACCCCTGAACTGCCAGTCAGTGACGTAGCTTGGCTTTGCCACCTCGTCAGCCACCTCAGTTTTCCCGGTAAGCTATTGCCACGACCCTTGACATGGGCAGTCCCTGGTGCGGTGATCCCTGCGTGCAGAGGAGCGCGACATGGATGACTCTCAAAGCTTCCTCGGGGTTGAATTCATTGAGTCTCAGGTCCATGATTCCTAGTGGTTGCTTCCCATCATACAAGCTCCAGGCCTATAAATGAACAGAAGCACAGCATGCTTCAGTAAGCAGAAGCTCCTGGACAAGAATGGATTGACGATGAATTCTGGTGCTGCTGGATGAAAAGACTGTAGAATAGCTTATTATTACCCACTCCAAAAGATATATTTTGCTTTCCTCGAGGGAGTTGTCAGTGTTCGGCCGACCAGAGACAGCCTCCAGGGCGACCACCCCGAATGCGAAAACCTCGGCCTTTTCAGTCAGATGGCCTCTCAAGGCATACTCAGGAGCTAGATAACCACTTGAGCAATGGTCAGGCAAGTTAAAATTAGCTCCTTTTCTAAAAAAAAGTTAAAATTAGCTTGGTTGTTGGAAGGTACTGCCATATATAAATGTATAAGAAGAGTAATTGCGAAAGGTTCTTACAATGTGCCGGCAATTTTTTGTCGTGTTGACATGGGACATGTTCTCTTCATAGAGCTTGGCAAGTCCAAAGTCGGAGACCTTGGGGGTGAGATCGGTGTCAAGTAGGACATTGCTGGCTTTTATATCCCTATGCACAATGCGGATGTTGGACTCCTCATGAAGATAAGCTATTGCTGGCTTTTATATCCCTATGCACAATGCGGATGTTGGACTCCTCATGAAGATAAGCTAGGCCTCTTGCAACGCCTAAAATGATCTCAAAGCGCGTTGACCAGTCTAGTTTCAAGCTACCATCTCCTGTGGATGCAGAAATAAGACCTTGAAATTTAGATGATGACAGAATTTATTGGGGACGAAATGAAGCCAATTTCGTTTAGCCAAAAAAAAAAGAGAGAGAAAAATAAAAGCACAAGTGGTCTCACCAAGGAGAGCTCGATCTAGGCTTCCATTTTCAAGGTATTCATAAACCAACAAATGCGTGTTACTGTCAATGCAGCACCCATGCAGTTTGACAAGGTTCCTATGTTGGACAGCTGAAATTGTAGAAACCTCTGCTACGAACTGTCTTTTCCCTTGAAGAGATGATTTAGAAAGTTGTTTAACAGCTATCACTCTTCCATCAGTTAGCGGACCCTGCCAAAATAAATTCATAGTAACTGTAAAATCTACATATGTATATTTTGACCATTCACCAACATGGTCACCAGGAGATTCTGAGGTGAGGTGCATCTAAGATACACTACCAAATAAGATAAATACTCAGTTGTAGTTTCACAAGGTCAAATTAAATTGGGAAAGACAGGTGAGGAACCTTATAGACTGGCCCGTATCCGCCTTCTCCAACAATGTTTTGAGGGTTGAAATTGTCAGTAGCTAACTTCAGTTCAGTGAAACTCAAGACATTAGGCTGCCCAATCAGGTCATAAAGTTCTGCAAATTTTTGAAGGGTGCACATGCATGAGTAAATATTTCATCATAGAATTTTGATGTATAAGTTATATACTGCACACACTAGTAGGTATATCCGATACCTTGTTGCTGTCGTGCCAGCCTTTTTCTCCTTTTTTTGAACATAAATATTCCAAATAAGGCTGCTAATACTAAAACTGACACGCCAATCACTATTCCAGAAATTGCACCAATGTTGCTTTTCTTTTCCGGTACACCATTACGCACAGTTGGAGTAAAATCTGGAAATGCTAAGGTTTCAGGGTTGCTTATCTGAGAGAAGCCAATGCGATGTAATTCTTCTTTATGTTAATTAATTAATGATGGATAGTGCTTACTTGGAGTGACACTCAATGCTGAGATCATTGGCCCATAGCAACCTTGTATAGGAATGCAACAAGTGCCCTTGCCAGCCCAAAAGAGATGGATCTCAAGGAAGTTTTTGGATACAGTTGCCGTGTAGTTCTTGCTAACTGCAGTAAAAGATTTCCCACCAGCCGTCTTCCTTATATCGAAGTTCTTTTCTCTCAGAGAACCCTTTTGCAATGAAAATAATTAGTTCTTTCACATAAAAAAATGTTCCATTAATTAATTATATGTACCATGCACACCTGGACATATATGTCAAAGACTCTCCTTCCGAGGCTTTGCCAAGTCTGTGTGTCCGGATAACCAGCTTCCGCGAACTGAAGCACAACAGTGTAATTTCCATTCTCAAGTCCAATACCGTAGTATCTCAGAGATGATGCTGACATCCTTGCAGTTTGGTACAGTTCTGAAACCGCTGCATTCTGAAACTGCTGGTTTGAGCTATATATTATGTCACTATCGTTTGGGGCCTGGTTGAATTTTCCAACATTGCTGACACCCCATCTTGTTTCACTGGTAACATAATACGATGCTGCCCCAAGGTCTGCATGATCTACATCGTACACAGTATTATCTGACCCTGTCATAGACCTATTACTGCCGCAGTCTACCACAAAGGAGGAATCTGCATTTAAGATCCACACAATTACTATAACCTTTAACCAAAACCCATGACATCCTGTTATCCTCTATGGTTGATGGAGAGTGAAAAAAAAAATACATTGTGGAGAGCCAAGGAAACAAGGAGTGTCTTGATGGAGGCAGTTTAGTCCTGGAGGTAGAATACTGTGCACATAGATAATGAATTTGAAATTGTAAGTTGTTAGAAAAAATTTGATAAAATTCAACCCTTGCAAAACTGTAAGTAGATGTCTACCTGTTGTTGGTGCTGTCAAGGACGAAGTTGTTTGCCACCAAATTCCTTGTTCGAAACAAAAATCTGATTATATCCAACCCTAGGTGGTAGGAAACACAAGTTTCAGAAAAAAATAACTTACAGATGCAAATCATTCTCAGTAGCCCAAGAAGGAAAGTTTCCAGTGAGCTGGTTGTATGAAAAATCTCTGCATATTAAATAGTCAAAAGTTACTACAAATGAAATGAATATACATTATTGAATTAATTGAATAATTTATGCCAGACTCCTATGCTGAATTGGTTGACATACAAATTTTTTAATGAAGCGCTTTTTGCATCTGGCAAGCTTCCTGTCAGTCTATTATTCCCAAGAAACCTGAATTATCAAAAAAAAAAAGAAACCTGAATTAGGTACAAATGATGATACAACATGAACATCCGCTTAGGTTGTGTTTGTACAGCGCAAATAATTAGACGAGAATTCCTTACAGGAATTCAAGTTTGTCCAGAGTAAGAATGGATTGAGGAACTTGGCCTGTGATATTATTAAAACTCAAGTCCCTGGGACGTACGACAGCAATGTTACTAGAGGCACTGCACGTTAAATTTCATAAAAGAAAACCAATAACATCTTAAATTAGTAATATGGCCCATAATGAGAAACTTACAGCAAGATTAAATTTGTCAGCTTAGAAATATCAACTGTTCCAAGGTTACCAGATACCTTGCAGTTCCTCAATATCCTATAAGAAAGATATTCAAAATCTCAAGAACTTGCCACTTTGTTAACACATAAAACTGCAAGGTCTAAGGTTAAAGGTGTCACGCACGGTACTCAAGGATGTCAGATTACTGATAAAGGCCAATGAAGAGCTCCCATTTACAATATCACCGACCATTCTGCCCATTGTATTTAGGATATCAGTTATCATGACAAGCTTGACCTAAACTATCACAGGAATTGTCTCTAAAGTAAGAAATACTTACAGGTTTGTCAACCTGGTTAGATTAGACAAACTTGCTGGAATCGGGTCCTCAAAAGAATTTCCTTGGAATCCCCTATAAGTTCATGATTTCAGAAAGAAAGTAATACCATACCACATCATTTTAATATAGGAAAAAGCAAGCTCCATATATCCATATGCTGTGCGGATCAGTTTAATGGCATGGTTATGCGTCCTATTTTAAATGGAAGACATGCAGAAAAGCTCTGCTGGACAATTTCCAGTGTTGTCTCCTGAATTGGACAGAATCTACATAATGTATTAACAATTTAATAAATATAATCTTACAGATCTCCCAAATTAGTCAAACTCCCAAAATAATCAGGTATTTTCCCTGTGAAATCATTATCAGATGCTCGCCTGAAAGCACAACAAAATACTATCACTGAACATATGGAAGCAGAATGAACATAACAGTTGTGCCTCTGTTATTGACCATACAGAGTTCTCAGCTTCTTAAGCTTTGAGAATGTCGAAGGGAATGGCCCGTTAAACCCACTACTATCAGTGTACCTGTCAGGGAAACATTGCTGCAATTATCATGTTCAACAATGGAGATTTTGCCAGCTTCAAACTTTAGCTCTTTTATTCTAGATGTAGTGTTAACTAGAAAGGAGGCTTCTTACAGTTGCTCAAGGTTGGACAGGTTGCCTAATTCTTCAGGAATTCCACCACTAAAATTGTCCAAACTGATGCCTCTGAAACAAAAGAAAATAGTTCAGGAGTGAGAAATTTATTTGCATGTCATCCTACTGGCAGGTAAAGGGGCACAGTTTCCCTGATGAGTCTTTTGATCCACAATATTCTCCATTTGGATCCCACTTGAACATACGAAGCACCATTAGAAATAGGAAACTACACTGATGCTTTTAATATATATAAGTTACTTTCTTGTTGAGAAATTATGCTTACAGTTTGTGCCATATTATTATATTCCTTCAGGCTATCATTAACCTATATTTGAAAATTGAGTAGCTATGCAAGAAGAAATCTCTTACAGCAAGTTGAGATTCGTGAGATTCCCAAGTTCCTTCGGAAGCGGTCCAGAGAAGCGGTCCAGAGAGTGGGTTGAATCCCAGGCTCCTTTAATTTTTTGTATTAAAAAATGAAAGATTGTTCAGAAAAAGCACTAACTGATGGAGATAACATAAAAGTATAATGTGAAGTATAACTCTTACAAGTGTTGCATTGCAGAAAATTGCCCAATAAATGATGGAATGGGACCGGTCAAGTAATTTTGATCCAGGTTCCTGAAATGATAGCAAGAAACGTCTAGCGCATTAACAGTAAGGAACATGGGTTTCCACTTACGTTTGCTGCAAAATCATTATACAGTTTAGCAGCTGTTCACCACCAAGACAGAAGATAGCAGTTAGACAACATACAAGTAAGATAGGTAGGTGAGGTTCTGCAGTTCTGAAGGTATCTGGCCAACAACGTTCAATGCGTATACCCTCCTACATAAAATAAACAAGAAGCCTTTGTAAACCATTTTCGTGACGACATGGCCTCTTGGTCCCGGCGCCGAGCACCTATTGTGCATCATCTAAAACAAGACAAGATCGGGCAAACGTACAGCTTGGTAATGTGGAAGATGGTGTTGCTGTTGAAAGAGCAGTCGCACTTGATCCCCGGGTTGAAGTGGTAGTTGCCGTCGATCTCGGTGCTGCTGTCGACAGCGGCGCCGCTGCAGGGCTCGCCGCTGATGTTCCACGCCAGCGACCGCCTCGCCTTCTGGCCCCACCTCCCCAGGATCGTGTTCAGCGCCGCCACTGCACACGCGCGCGTAATCCGGCCCGCGTTATAACGTGCAAGCTAAAGCTAACCCCCCCGATTCTCTGAACCTTGAAACCGTAGCAAAGGAGGTAGTTTTTTGAACCTTCGACTGGATCAGTTCTTGGTGTTTGCTGAGTCTGAAACCGAGGTGCTTAATGAATGCATGAGCACACAAGCACCAGCCACACCAGCACACCTCTGCTGTAACCACGCCTCCTCATCTCTCTCTCTCTCTCTCACAAGAGAAACAGTGTCTTGGCAGCTATCACCCTACCATCCCTTTCCTTTCTTCTCACCAGATAAGTGACGTCGAGTGTATAACTCTCCGCTAAGGCGTGTCGAACTTTTCTCTTTCTTAATTCTTAGACACGTAAACTTTTTGCATAATCGAAAAAATAAAGTGTATGAAAGTACATTGTATACTCTATTATTAAATAAATAATTGTGTTTGTCCATCAAACCTCAAAACGAATGTTTTTTTTTGGAACACCTCAAAACAATATATTAACCCGTTCTATGTGTACTCAAAAAAATTCTATAAAGTTAGGCTGCCCTTTAATTTTAAAACTTTTGAAAGAGGTGAGTGTGCGCGCGCGCACACACTCTAGATACACTAGTAGAGAAACGACTTTTGATCCACTTCGAAATTTGGCTTTAGTTCCGGTATTTTTCGCGTCCGGGACTAGAGAAATCTTTAGTCGGTTGGTAGCTTCAATTGGGACTAAAGATTCCTGCCCAACGGCTACTGCGGCAGGTTTTTGTCGGGACTAAATGTTAACTTTTACTCCCGGTTGGTCCCTCCAACCGGGAGTAAAAGTCTACTCCCGGCTGAAGGCTCCGTCCGAGACTAGAAAGGGACCTTTAGTCCCGGTTGCTATCTTCAACCGGGACTAAATGTCCCCTCCTATATACACCTTCTTCCTTCCTGAGCCCGAGCCACTTCGAGCTCAGTGTTCTTGCTTCATCGCCGGCCTCTCTTCTTCCTCATCGTCGGTAATCACAAGATTTCTTTGATTCCTTCATTGATTCTTCGGTTCTAAAGGTTACCAACTTTATACTATCATATTTCATCAGTAGCATATCCCATTTTGTGGACTAGATATATATGGTTTTTTATGGTGATTTTTTTTATTTGTAAGCCATTTAAGCTCAAAATCACTTTAAAGTTTGCATATTTGGATGAAGGAAGGTTAAAGTAGTTATTCAAAACTAGTATTCAGCTTTCATTTCTAGCATGCATAGCACATTTCATGGTTTAGAGATATAGAGAATTTTAGTTTTTTTTAATTTTATTTATTTATAAAATGAGAAATTTATATTATATTAAAAATGAGTATAGAGAGTAGATGGCAACTGCTTCCGGGTCCTCGGCCTCTCATCGGGTTCCAAAGCGACTGAGGCCGAACCTCCCTCTCATTGCATGCGGCAAGTGTGAGGAGAAGATTGTGATGGAGTACCGGGTGAGGAAGGAGTGTCCCAACAAGGGCCGTATCTTCTATAAGCATCCGGATCGCAATGTGAGTTATTTTGTCGTATTTGATGATTATGGTTAATTTATATTTATTTTCATGATGATTGTGATTAAAGTTCTAATTTTTTGTTTTAATTTCAGTGGGATGGCACTGAATGTTTAGGCTGGTACTAGGAGGAAGAGTATGTTGAACACGTGCAAAACTCTCTTGCATAGGCGGCTACGGCGGCTGATGAGGTAGTGATCCTGCGGAAGAAGCCCATAGATGTTGAACAAACGCATGATCTGTCTATTTTAGTTAGGATTGGTCACGAAATACTTAAGCTGCTGAAGTGCATTTTAGCTTTAGTTTTTCAGTGGTAGATGGGATTGTCTACATTGTAGCGAGACTTTCATAAATTAATACCTTGTATGGTGGTATGCATGTCGTATAATTAACTAATTATGTTCTAGGTTTTAATATGGTATGTATGTCATGTAATGCAGATGAGCCGGCATTGGATGTACAATGCTGATCGCCGCTCCCAAGAGTTCATTGAGGGCATGCATTATTTCTTACGTGTGGCCGAGGCAAACAAACGCGATGGTTTCATGTGCTGCCCATGTGCCATATGTAAGAATTTAAAGGAATATGCTAGCTCAAGGAGTCTTCATTCACACTTGTTGAAGTCGGGTTTCATGCCAAACTATATTTGTTGAAAGAAGCACGGAGAAATCGGGGTTGTAATGGAAGAAGGTGAAGAAGAACAATGGGACGATGATGACATTATTGCTAAATATGGTGCCTTCAATGATACTACAATGCGGGAAGCTAAAGAAGAGGTAGGGGTAGAAGATGAGCCTGCTGATGATCTTGGTCAGGCCATTCGTGACGCACAAAGAGAATACGAAAGTGAAAAGGAGAAGATCAAGTTCGAGCGCATGCTAGAGGATCACAAGAAATTGTTATACCCAACTTGTGATGCGGGGCAGAAAAAGTTGGGTACCACACTGGAATTGCTGCAATGGAAGGCAAAGAATGGTGTATCTGACAAGGGATTTGGGGAGTTACTGAAAATCCAAAAGAAGATGCTTCCGAAGGATAACGAATTGTCCGCCACTACGTACAAAGCAAAACAGGTAGTTTGCCCTTTTGGGATTAGAAATCCAGAAGATACATGCATGTCCTAATGACTGCATCCTCTACCGTGGCGAGGAGTACGAGAAGTTAGATGCATGCCCGGTATGTCATACATCGCGGTATATATAAGATCGGGCGAGATGACCCTGGTGTTGTTGAGGGCGAACGTCCCACGAAGAAAATCTCTGCCAAAATTATGTGGTATGCTCCTATAATACCACGCTTGAAACGTCTGTTCAGAAATAAAGACTATGCAAAGTTGTTGCGATGGCACAAAGAAGACCGTAAGGTAGACAATATGTTGAGACACCCTGCTGATGGGTCCTAGTGGAGAGCAATCGATAGAGAATTCCCAGAGTTTGCAAATGATGCAAGAAACTTAAGATTTGCTTTAAGTACGAATGGTATGAATTCTTTCGAAGAGCAGAGCAGTAGTCATAGCACTTGGCCTGTTACTCTATGTATCTACAACCTTCCTCCCTAGTTATGCATGAAGCGTAAGTTTATTATGATGCCAGTGCTCATCCAAGGCCCAAGGCAACCTGGCAACGACATCGATGTGTACCTGAGGCCACTAGTTGAAGAACTTCTACTTTTGTGGAACAGACCAGGTGTACGTGTGTGGGATGAGCACAAACAGGAGCACTTTGACCTGCGAGCATTGTTGTTCGTAACAATCAATGATTGGCCTGCTCTAAGTAATCTTTCAGGACAATCAAACAAGGGATATAATGCATGCACGCACTGTTTCGATGACATTAAAGGTATATTCTTGAAAAAAATGTTGAAAGGTCGTGTACCTTGGCCATCGTCGATTTCTTCCTATGAATCACCCCCTAAGAAAGAAAGGCAAGCATTATCAAGGATATGAAAGTAGTATTTGGAAAGGCACATGTCACACCCAATTTTAAGGATAAAATTAAATGCACTATACTCATATGTGCCCAGGGACCAGTCACACACACAAGCTGACAAATTATAAAAAATATCATCATAGTGTATCTTACATCACGATTAATAACATATCTTAGTCTTACACAACACAGCGAAAAATAAAAGACAGCTCTCTCGTGGAAGCTCCAACACAGGGACGGTCAACTGGTTGACCACAAGCCTAATAGTCCTCAGGAAACTTCTCATACACGTTATCATCTGTTACCCATCTGGGATTTTTATCCAAATATAGAAAGTAAACAAGCGTAAGTACATCCCGTACTCAACAAGTTAACATGGGGTTATGAAGCTAAAAAAGGTTGACACTGGTTTATAACAGTTAGCACTTTAGTAAGTTAAGATTTTATTATCAAGTATTATCAAGTTATGCTTAAGCTCCTATTTAAACCCACATAATCAGATATCAGAATCATTTGTATCATATTATCATCGTATACCATCATAAATGAACAACAATGAGCAACCAATTATTCTGTGAGTTTTCCGGGCCGCTCGTGACCGTGAGCACGGCTGTTATAACAGTTTGTAACCCTCTGCAGAGGTTGTGCACATTCACCACGAGTCATGATTCCCATATGCCCGGGTTGCTTACTCCCATATCACTGCTAAGGTGAGCGGGCAGGGTACACTATAAAACCATTTCATAGGTTTCTCTAACAAGTTAGGGCCGCTAGGTTTCCTCGACAGGCAGATGTAGGAACCCCTCTTTCCTATGGCACATATCCATTGTGGCTATACACATAGGAACAGAGGCAGTCCTATACCCAACGTGGCAAGCCCCTTTTGTGCTATAAAGGTAACCTCTAACAAGCTAGAAAAGGTCTTATTACTGAGCTAAAGTCAGAGCCATGTGACCCTCACGGTTGCACTATCAGTCCTAGCTTTTGCCGATAGATAAGTCCTTATGGAGGGCTGAGAGCATCATGATTAAAAGTCATTTGCTCCATCGCCCTATAATTCAGTTGTTTAAAAGCAACTTTTACCTTTTCGTTCCATAGAACCATTATTCATTATGTAGATCATGTGCTGTTACATTGAGCGCTAGCAAACTACCCATATGCATATAACCCATAGGAGATAAGGAACAGGATAATCAATCACTAGGATGTCCTTACGGGTATCAAAATTAGACACATGCAAATGAGTAATTAATAAATGTGAATAGGCATCAAGGTAGATCTCATGCTATACTTGCCTTGGTTAGCAAACTCCTGCTGGTCCTGCTGATCATCAAAGAACTCGTGGTCACCAACGTTCTCCTCACCGTCTGAACACGACCAACACGGCAACATACAACATTCCAGGAACATTCATGCAATGCAACAATCCTATGGTTAGAACAGTACACCAATAGTATAGAAATCAAGATAAAATGTTTATGAAAAGGATCTACGTCTCGCTACGATCACGTCAACGCGAAGTTCACGAAAAACGGAGCTAAAACGCGAAAGTTATGATTTAAACGAGATTTCCTATAGCAATTTATTTAACTAAATCTAACCTCAAAATTTAAATGTTGCAAACAGGGTTAACAGTGGTGTTAACATGTAGAGAACTTAATTGCGAACCTAACGAAATTTGAATGGGTCAAATTGGAGCTATAACGACGATTTTATAAGCAAAACAGTGCAATGACATTTCTGTAAATACTGAAAACGTATTTTGGACTAAAACAG